TCCCCAGGTCCTTTGCCCAATCCTCTAATCCACAATCCTCACTCCCGAAAAGTCTTTGGGAGACCCGGACCCCAAATTCTCAAATCTCTGGGGGCGTGCCGCGTCTTCTCTCGGTTCGTCGCGTGACCTCTTCGGGCCCATGAAAGCCCCAAGACGGGTCAGGAGGGCATCAGGAGGCCCCCGAGACAATCCGCGAGGGTCCGGGGTCAGAGAACGATCGCTGCAAAACGCTCAAGATAGCCCCCAGACGACCCAAGAGGCCTCCAAGAGGCCTCCAAAGAGGGCCCCATGAGGCCAAAATCTTTGATTGTGCAAGAGGTATTTGAAAGACTTGGGCGTTCTCGCTTTTTCGGCTTACCGACGCTCCAAGACGACCCACGAGGCCCCCGAGATCGCCCAAAGACGGCCCCAGAGGCCCTCTGGAGAATCCCAAGACGGCCCAAAAGAGCCCCAAGACGGCCCAAGAGGCGCCCAAGACAGCCCAAGAGGGCCCAATGACGGCCCCAACAAGGCCCAAATGGGGAACTCGAGCGGATACTTCGCGCCCTCGGCCCCGAGGAGCTCCCAAGAGGCCCCCCAGAGGCTCCCAACAGGCCCCCAAGAGGCCCCAAGAGGCCTCTAAGAGGTCCTCAAGAGGCCCCCGAGAGGCTTCCAACGGGCCCCCGAGCTGCCCCCAAGAGGCCGCCGAGAGCGCCCCGAAGAGACCCGAAGAGCCAGACGTGACATCCCGAGGGCCAGGACTGGGGCAAAACGCCGGCGAGAAGCAACGACACGCTGGAACGTCATGCGGAGTGCTGCAGCTGGAGGGCGGCCTCGCCGAGAACACGAGGTCCGAGGATACGAGGCCAATCAGCGTGTGGCTCAATGTGTATATCGTATATATATATATATATATATATGAATACATCTATAGACATACGGATAGCGTGTGTGTATTTGTGTGTGTCCCAGACCGATGTATGTATGTATGTATGTATGTATGTATGTATGTATGTATGCATGCGTATATATATGTATATATGTATGTATGTGTATCCATACATCCATCAATCCATCCATCCATCTATCCATACATCCATCCATCCATCCATACATACATACATACATGCATGCGTGTATGCATGCCTATCGACCTACCTACCTACCTACCTACCTACCTACCTACCTACGTAGCTACATACATATACATACACATACATACATACATACATACATGCATGCATGCATGCATACATGCATGCATGCATGCATACATACATACATACACGCATACATACATACATACATACATACATACATACATACATACATACAAACATACATACATACATACATACGGACGGACGTACGTACGTACGTACGTACATACATACACACATACATACATACATACATACACACATACATACATACATGCATACATACATACATACATACATACATACATACACGCATGCATGCATGCAGGCATGCATGCATGCATCCGCACGTACGTACGTACGTACGTACGTACGTACGTACATACATACATACATACATACATACACACAAGCACACACTCACACATACATACATACATACATACATACATACATACATACAAACATGCATGCATACATACATACATACATACATACATACATACATACACACATACATACATACATGCATACATACGTACTTACTTGCTTGCATGCATGCATGCATGCATGCACACATGCATACATGCATACTCACATACATGCATGCATGCATCCATTATGAACTATACACGTATAACTACGAATGTCTATGTGTGCTTGCGCATGTTAAATAGGCACGCCTGTGTACACCTTCACATGCGTATATCTGTATATGTGCATATACTCATAGATATGTCAGCTCGCTACGGTGCTCCTAGGCACTGACTGGAGGGCTCCACGGCAACCACGACGGCCCGAGCGGTCACCAGGATCGCCCCAAGACGGCCAAATAGGCTCACACCTGGACCATAGGCGGCCCCAGGGAGCCCAAAGACGACCCACGAGCCCCCTCCCAAGACGGCCAAACAGTCCTCCAGAAGGGCTCAGGAGAGGCTCCAAAAGGACCCCAAGGGGAGCATCAAGAGAACCCCCAGATGCCCTCAAGAACCCCACATCAGTGATGCCCATAGGTGCTTAAAAGATGGAACCAAGACGCCCTCAAGAGCTCCAAAACAGTGATCCAGTGATATCCATACTTGTTTGAAAAAAAACAATAAACTCGCTCCTTCGAGCTTCAAGGTCCCCAAGACGGCCCAAAAGGCCCCTGTGATCGCCGGATGACGACCCAAAAGGATTCTGCGAAGACCCTTAAACGGCACTCGAGGCCCGCGTGACGGCCCAAGAAACCCCCGAGCCCGAGAGGGGAAATCCAACGGGCCTTGGAATTGGAAGCCTTTCCCAAACGATTAGGCCCAAGACCCCCCAGAAGCGCCCAGGAGGCCCCACGGGTCCCCCAGGAGGCCTCCGAGGGGCCTCCGAGAGAACCCAAGGAGGGACCTCCGAGGGGCAAAGCCCCCCCCCCCCCCGAGGGGTCTCCACGAGACCTCTGGCGCACAAGCCAGGCACCGTGGCGGGAAGGACCGAAAGGGCCGCTGGCGTGCCAGACGCTAAACATACGTTAACCCTTCCAGAGCGTTCGTGTCGGCGGCGACGATGGGGGCGAATAGCCCAAGGGCGGGCATTACACGTATTCGCCTGGGAGTTGTTTTTGAAGACATAGATCATCGGCGCACCTGAGTACATGTATTGCGCTCCCCTGGGCTATTCGCCCCTTATCGTCGCCTCTGATCGTGGCCGATACGGCTGGCCACGCGAAAAGACCCCAGCGAGCCATAGAGGTGCGTCATCCGCTTCTCGGACGCTCACTGTAGCCTTCAACATGGTATCACAAAACGGCCCCAAGGCGCATCCAAGGCGGCCGAGATGGCCCAAGAGAGCCCAAGGACGGCCACGAGACGGCCCAAGACGACTCCAAGCATCCAACGGTGCCCATCAAACGGTACCAGAGGCCCCCAAGACGCCCTAAGAGAGCTTCAAGAAGACCTCGAATGCGCCAAAACTACTGATGTCCTGTTGGTGTTTTATTCATGTTCGCGTTCTCGCCCTTTCGGGCTTCCGACAACCGCAGACGGGCCGTAGAGAGCCGAAGATGATATCCAAGATTGCTCACGATGGCTCCAAAAATATCTCAAGGTTGCTTCCAAGATGTTCCAAGAGGCCAGAAGACGGCGCCAAGACGGCTACAAGTGGCCGCGAAACCTCCTACGAAAGCGACCAGAAGGCCCAAACCCTTCAAAACTATAAGAAATACGTTTGTGGTGCCTTCTCGCCTTTTCGCTTTCGGCGGCCCTCCGAGACATCAAGATGGTTCTACCAAGAAAGCCCCCAGAGGAGCCCAGGAAGATCCCAAGACGGCCCCAAGAGCGCCCTCCAAGGGTGATCAAAGAGGCGAGTTTAGAGGCTCTAGAGGGGCGATGTTAATTGAAGCTTCCCCTCTGATAAAAAATTGAAAGCACATGGGTGTTGAATGATACTGGCTTTCCGACTGCATCTTTGACAGGCTTTTGGCCCAAGAGGGCTCCGAGAGGGCCCCAGATACTTTAAGATGGCCTCGAAAATGGCGCAAGACGGTCCAAGCTGGCCCACGATGGCCTCCAAGATGCTTCCAAAAGGCCCAATGATCGCCCCGAGATGGGTTCGAGTGGTCACGGAGCTATGCAAGGACGCCGCCAGAAGGCCCAAATCCTTCAACCACCTGAAGGAAATCAATGCGTGTGTGTTGCCGCCTCGCCTTTTCGCTTTCGAGGCCCCTCCGAGGCTCCAGGATGGCTCGACGAAGGCACAAGAGAGGCCCATGAGGAGCCCAAGAGGGTCCCAAGACGGCCTCAAGAGCGCCCAAAACCGCCCCAAGAACGCCCATAAGAGAATCCTAACCGGCGTTTTCACGAGACGGGGGGGGGGCCGAATTGACCCCCTCCCCCCTTCGAGCTCCTCCAATATGGCCCCAAGAAGGCCTCCGAGGCTACAAAGAGGGCCCCAGGAGCCTCTTGGGATATGACGGCTGCACCAGCCTTTTGTTTCACTGCATGCGCCTCCACATCCCTGAGCAGGGCGCCTCGCCTGGGCATAGTTTCTGGATGGGCGGATCTGCTTCTTCTGTCGCAACCGCAGGCGAAGGCGCCAGCGGCGTCACAGGTCGGCTCGGGCTACGACCAGAACTAATTGCCCAGCGCGCGCGCGTAGGCAACTGGGCTGATCTGGTTACTTTTTTTTTGGTCGCGGGCAGACGCGTGAAGCTGTTGCCGAGAGAGGGGTCCGGGGCACGGGCCAGCTTAATTAGCTACTGAGCGACGCGCAAGACGGCCGGGCCAGCGCTCAGAAGCGGCGGCTGAGGGGCAGCTGCTGGGGGAACTGGCTGGGGCTGATCTTGTTACGCGAAACGTCCACAATGGCGGCTCCCCGCTGCTGGCCGAAGCTGGGCCTAGTTCCGGAATGCCGCCGGGAGGGGCCCGAGCAGGCATGCCCCGCGGAGCAGGCGGGGGGAAAAGGGGGAGGGGAAGGAGGAAGGAAGGAAGGGCGGACCTTGGATGTGTCGGTGGACTATCGCAGACGTGCTTGCGGCTTTTGGAGATATCCGACGAGGGGGAAGGAGGATGGTCTCGCAAATGTTCCGAATACGGCAGCGGGAGAAGGAGAGAGAAGGGTGGCCATGGAGCAGTGAAAGACTTGGAGGGGGGGGGGGACCCAGAGAAAGAGGATGAGTTGGAGTTCGTGTTTCGCGTTGGTCGAAGATGCATTATGGCGTCCCCACTGGAAGGCTCCTTGCTCCCTCAGCGCACGCTGGCCCCTTGAGCGAACTGGTTTCCAAGATCTTCCAAGAGACCTCGTTTCCCCCTCGGTTGATCGCCGAGAGAGGAGATGGAGGGAGGGATGAGGAAGCGGAGAAAAAGACAGAGGATACAGGTTCTTCGCTCCCCGATGACCAGCGCGATGTTTTTGTAGTTCTGCCCGTTGTCCCCGTAGGCACCCGCGATCAGGCTGAGGGAAAACGCGCGGATGATGGAACCCTCGGTGGGGCTGGGGAACCTCTGTGCTGAAGTGGTCCTCTCCTCCTCCTTCTCTTCCTCTCCTCCTGCTCCTCCTCCTTCTCCTCCTCCTCCTCCTCCTCCTCCTCCTCCTCCCCCTCCTCTTCCTCCTCCTCCTCACGAAAAAAAACAGCAGGGCGCCTTTACCTGGACCTTGGCTGCTCGGACCAGCCGGCGCGGAGTGCTGGCGACGCCTGGCAAAGCCAGGGCCAGAAGGACCCGGACTTCTACCTTTTTGCCCTCCTCCTCCTCCTCCTCCTTTTCCTCGTCCTCCTCGTCCTCCTCCTCCGCCTCCTCCGCCTCCGCCTCCGCCTCCGCCTCCTCCTCCTCATCCTCCTCCTCCTCCCCAAGACTCAAAACCCGTGGGATCGTCCTCAGTTCGAAAAAGTTACGCTGGCCTGGCATACGCTCGTGGCTTCAAAATCAATATCCTGGGAAGGGCATCTACGAAACCGAGGCACATGTGAAATTACATCGGCGCTACGAAAGTTTTGACCCGTTTTGTGTTTTCAGCTCAACAACGCCTGAGCATCACATTGGTTATGAACGCCACGACGGCCGTGAGCATCACTCGTCGTCGTCGTCGTCGTCGTCGTCATCGTCGTCGTCGTCGTAATGGTCGCGGTCGTGGTCGCGGTTCTGATCGTAGTCTTGATTGAGGAAGTCCTGGGCGGAAGCGCCATTGCGAAATCGAACCCGAAGGTTTCGAATTCTGTTTTGGACGGGGTCCTGGGCGGGAGCGCAATTTCGAATTCTTTTTTGGAGGAAGTCCTGGGCGGAAGCGCCATTTCGAGTTCGAACGGAACAAATGCCGAACCCAATTTTGCAGGAAGTCCTGCGCGGGCGGGCTATTTCGAATTCGAGGCAGGAACTTTGCGACTTCTATGTTTGAGGAAGTCCTGTGCGGGAGCGCCATTTCGAAATCGAAGCAGAAAGGTTTCGAATTCAATTGTTGCGAAAGTCCTAAGCGGGAGCGCCATTTCGAAATTGAACCCAGAAGTTTCGAAATCGTTCGAAGTCGCTGTTTCGGGGAAGTATCAAGCGAAACCGCCGTTTCGCAATGGCCACACCGTTTGGCATTTAAAATTCTTAAAACCCTGACCAGAAAACTCGAAAATGCAGCTTTCGCTAGGTACTCCCTCCCCAAAACGAGCTCGACTGGATTTCGAAACCCTCGGGCTCGATTACGAAATGTGGCTTTCGCCTAGGACCTCCTCCCCGAAACTAGCTCGACTGGATTTCGAAACCCGCGGGCTCGATTTCGAAAGGGCGGTGCCGCCCGAGACTGGAGCGAAACATGCTTCAACCGAACATTGTACTGGGGCCCCGCGGCCTAACGGGCCCACTGCCAACGTTGTACTGGGGCCCCGTCGCCTAACGGGAGGCGTTGATTTTTGGCAGAACTTTCGTAGCGGCGAAGTATAAGGCCGACTGATCACCCCTGTCGGTGGCAATGGCCAGGCTGGCAAATCCGAGAGGCAAATAACCCGTTGTGGGGGCCAACTCCTGCGGCGCAGGATGAACAGAGTCGTTCAGACACCCTTGCCCCCCGCCCCACCGTCCACGACGACCCACCCGCCCCCTTAATTGCCCCCCTTCCCCTTGCCCCTGCGTCGCGACTGCGACGGCTTTATAAGTGCAGGGGTCGCGGGGCGGGCCTCGTGATTAGATGTGGTAACTTGAATGCTAAATGCACGGCTCACTGTGGACGGGTCGACGGACCTCTCGCCACAAGTTCTGCTCATCTAGTGCTGCCCATCATGTGCTCTACCTGCCGCCGTCGAGCAGACGCGAGATCTCTCTCTACCTCTCTCTCTCTCTCTCTCTCTTTCTCTCTCTCTCTCTCTCTCTCTCTCTCTCTCTCTCTCTCTCTCTCTCTCTCTCTCTCTCTCTCTCTCTCTCTCTCTCTCTCCAAGGGCCCCCGTAGAGTTGCCCCCAACACCCTTCTCGAGCTCGATTCACTGTTGGATCACGTCAATGGGTGGAGACGAAATGAGTCCGATCGACACTGATGATCACCATTGCTTTCTTCTCCTGTCCGTCCTGCTGCTTCCAAGGCTTGACTCGGACATCTGTCACCAAGCTCGCCGTCTCCTCGATCGTGCAGTGGTTTATCTTCTCGCTGAGCAGCTGCTTCATTGACTTGGAGATGTGGTCGCGCTCCTGGTCGTCTAGACTGGGATCGCTCATCTTGGCCCCCCTGTTTGCAATGTGGGCGACCGCTTCCATGAAGACGTGGATGCGGGGCGGCCCTCTCGACTTCCAGTCCGCGCTCTTGCCCCCGGCGACCTCTTCACGGAGCTTCTCGGGCCCCCCCTCGCACTCTCTTCCTCTGCGCATCATGGCATTGACCAGCTCCGAGTCTGCCGGCGCTGCGCTGCGGGCGCAGAGGATGCATGACACGCCCGCGATCTCGCGCGCGTTGGTCAGGACGAGGCGCAACATGAAATTGACCAGCCGGCCGTCGCCGCCTCCGTTCATCTTGCCCTTGCCCCTCTGGGCCTTCGCTTCCTTGCCTAACTCGGGGCCTGCCCGGTCCGCCGCCGCGCGCTCCTTGAACCGCCCGGGACTGACCGCAGCGCCAACGCGCAGCACCCAGCAGCTCGCGCTCGGCGAAGGGCGCGAGAGGCCAAGGCAAGCGTTGTGTCACATGGCTGCAGAGAGCATCCACTGACGGACTGGCGCGCTCACAGCGCGGGCCGGCGAGGCTTCTCACGTCTGTCTGGGGTCTGAGAATCGCGGGGCCCCGGGCCTCGCAACGTCCTCGCTCCAGCGAGCGAAGCAGGCGAAGGGCCGCCCCCTTTCTGGTCAGAGAACGCCCAGCGACAGCGCCTACAAAAGTAGCCAGGGGAAAGCGCGCACATGAGACTACGCATTTCAGGCGAGCCCCTTAGATGATATAGCAGGGCCTTCCCAGTGGCAAATTTACAATTACAAAGATCTCCATCCGTAGTCGTGAGCCGGCAGGCGTGTCCTTCCTGGTCTTCGGAGCCGCTGAGCCCCTCGCGGGGGCGAGGAGGAGGGGCCTCAAGGCCAGGGGGGGGGAGCTGGACCGCGAAGACCTCGACGCGCAAAACTGCTACATAAAAACGGGTAAATTACTCTGCGAATCCAAAATCCCAAATCAAGTCTTCATTACTAACCACAGCCTCAAAAAGACCTTCGTCCGTGACCTCAGCGGCGCGGTTCAGGTCAGCGCAAAATTGCCTCACCCAAGGAGAGGCGCGCTCCGTCGGGGCACAGCGACGCAAGAGGAGGCGAGCACGATCAACTTCCATTTCCCCAAAAAGAGAGGCCAAGACTTGGGCGCGAGCCTCTATGCCTTCATGCCTCAGAATTGCCAGTTCTGTCCAGCACGGCGCAAACCGCCACCGCCAGAGAATTTGGCTGGCGAGGCCAATGGGTCGGCCCCCGCCCCAGTTCGCAGCCGCCCCGCCCACGGCAGCTCTACAGTATCAGACCAGGTTGTCTGTCGAGCTTCTAACAACCTTTGGTCGCAACGCCAAAACTTCTGCGCCGATATAGAGCGCGCTGACAACAAGGCATAAGAAGAGGCATCGCTTTAAACTGGAACGGCGAGTACATTCCGCGCCGCCCAAAGCCCATTGTCAACGTCGCAGGTCGGGGTGCTCCGCTGGACCAAATGCGGGCCCGAGTATCTGGCCGGGCCCCGAATTCCCCCCTTAGCCCGCGGGTATTGGAGGATTGGAGAAGTCGTTTAAACGTCGCCCCCCCCCCCCCCCCCCGGAAACAAACAGAAACTCCTACCTACTAGCGTGCTGGCGGTACCCGCGCGACTCAAGCTGTTCGTCTAAGGCGCAACCTGATCCTCGACTTTTGTTGCATGAACCCCTGAAACGTTAAACCTGGGGAGCTAATGTAACCTTCGGCAAATCATCAGCATGCGCATATCAGCTTGGATCGGCGCGGCATGGTCCCCATACCATTGCTGGGGCTTCCCCACGTTCGTCATGTTGCCATTGCCAAAAGCTCAATCTTAGAACTGGAGGCGTAACTACTCCTACAGAGTTGGCTACAACAAATCCCCCCCCCCCATCATGCCCCCTCAGTCGGTGTCAGCGCGGGCGGGCGATCCGAGGACAGCAAAAACATGGCTCGCTTTCGATATCGGTGGCGGCAGAGGTCACGGTCATCTCCAGCCCCCCCATACATTGACTGCCTCACCCATGCATTGCCACTCCGAGCTTGCGAAAAGCATCAGTAAGATTCTTCAAACACATGATGCGCGTCTGGTCGCATCTCCCCAGCCGCCAGCTGGCGTGTAAAACAAAAAAAGACGGCGTGCCCGCGCCGACGACCCCGACGGAGACCGCGGCCATTGACCGTCGGTTTGGCTCCGAACCTACAAGCGACGAATCTTGTCCCTATAGCTGGGGAACGCGCACTATGCGTCGGCACTTCGGCCCTGTTTGTGCTGTCCTATATGCGGCAGTGCCGTCGCTCGCGCGCCGACGCAATGGGGTCGCATTAAATTGCCTAGTCTTCCACGGGCCGATCACGTGCACACCCCAGAAAACTCCATTACTAAGCATATTCTCCGCGCCCGCCCCACGCACATCGTGATCCTACGATTCGGGGGGGGGGAACACGCGCGCCATAGTTCTAGCGAGGCCGCCCCCGCGGGCACCAGTTTTCGCCGCGGCTTGTTTTTCTGATTTGCCGCTGAATGTGTCGCAAACCGCTCTTGGCCATTTCCTGCGCATCCGCATTCCTGTCGAGGGTTGCAACGACTCTGTCGGACCTCCAGCCACGGCAGTCAAACTCGGAAGCCCCCATCCCGCCCTCCCGACCCCCCAGGCCTCAAGACCTCGAACCATTCCTGAGTCGTCGGCCAGGCGGCGCGCGCCGGCCTGCCGCCGCGACGCATTGGTCCGCGCCTGCATCGCGCAGCGGCTCGGGCAGCGCGCGCGGCCTCGGCCGGGCGCCATCTTCCCCGCGCCCCCCACGCTTCGGCCAAGGGC